TAATTTTATACCCTGAAAATGAGTGTGACATTAAACAAGGTATTAAAAGTAAACGCAGCCTTTAATTGGCTTGTATTAAAGAACTTCTTCAGGAGTAACTGACTCATTTGCTCCAGTGTAAGTCACCAAACATATCAGCTTTGTGTGGGCTCTGGCAGGATTTGATCACCTGCTTTCATGCTAAAGATATTCAGGGTCCTAGTGGGGAAATTCCTGCTTCATAAACACCCTGACAGACCTCCCTCAGCTTTATCCAAGCAGTTGTGTCTTTCACACTGTGCTCAGTACTCCATATGTTCCTTTGGTGAGTCATAGTAATGTCTTTAAGGGCTCCTCTGGAAAAGAGAACCATGTTGAATAATCTTATCCAGTATTTACAAAATGTTTGATACAAGGGTTGCTTGCTACCATGTATGAATTTGTTTTAAAATGAATGTCCTTACTGGTATAATTATAGATTATATAATTCCGAAACTGTTACAGAACATAATGCCTGCCCAACCACCACCCCCTGTTCCCACCCTTATGATCCTGGAACAGTGTCTCATTTCAGAGCTGCTGTAAAACAATACTTTATACAGCTTAAACGCCATAATGGATATGTCCGAAATAGTTTTGCTCATATATCTTATGACGTAATAATGACTATATGTCATGTACCTGGATGGAGACCAAGTTGATAAGGGGGCTGTCTGTGTACCTCTTATCCCACACCTCTGGAGGTGGTAACAGGGATTATAAGGATGTAGAGTGGCACAGACGCCGGTGCTGATGGCTGGCTGAAATCTGTGCAGATGCTTGAGAATGTAGAAAAGATGACCGAGTCTGCAGGACCAGGATGACTATGGAAAACCCTGGATGCTTCAGCTGATGGATGAAAGGATGATGGATGTAGGTGAACACGGATCAGGTATGAAGATACCACACAGCTGGAGCTCCAGGCACCAGATGGAGAGCCAGAAGCAGAGTCAGAATCATAAGCCGAGGTCATGCACAGGAAAGTGGAGTCTTGAGGTACCAGATCAGAAGACAAAGGCAAAATCGGTCAGTCACAAGCTGGGTTCATTCGCAGGTAACAAGATCAGATGCAAAAAACACAGGGACTAGCTGGTCACTAGGCAACTGGCTCCTTGCTTGTGTCTGTTTAAATAGGCCGAGTGTGCCTGCCAACGTGCATGCGCCTATCCGTCATTTGCAAGTGAGTAATCTAGTGCATGCATGCCTTTGCGCCAATGCGTGTCTACCCGGAACTTTTAGCACAGCATCTGTCAGCCGAGACTGAGTTTATGGTAAGTCTCTTACACTATAAATATAGGACTTAAATATTTTCTACACTATTTTCAAAATGACCAGTATATCTAACAAAAGTGTAGAAGAAAAAAATATGTTTTTTTAAAATAGACTTTTATTAAAATTCACATGAATAAATAGGCCTTATGGCAGCATTATGAAATTACATTTTTATGTGGAGTTGAAAAGAAGTCCATATTCTTGTTCTCAACAAAAATGCTTTTAATGAGCTACCTTGCGTGTCCTTAATTCTAGGTGGAGATTACATGGTCCACAGCTATCAGGAGAATTGTGGGCATTTGTGTAAATAGAGACCAAAGAGGGATCTGTTCTGGACCTGGTAGACTTGTGTTTAGATATGAGGGTCAGCAAGGCAGAGCCTGGAAGCAGAACCAGTATATATGTGCAACATATAGCCAATGATCAAATACAGCCAACCCCATTATACATATGTAATTGTAAACAGTATAAACAAAAAAAGACCCTATTCCCAACTGAGCATTTTGTTACAATGTTCTAGAAGCATGACAATTAACATCATGCTGATGAATCCTATATTTTCAATGGTACCCACTGATACATGAGCATTTTGTTGCTTGTAGCTCAGAAAAGTACATGAGCTTTTCTCGGGCAGAAGTGTGCATGTTTGGCTCCATTTACTTCAATTAGAGCGCCTAAAAAAATGCATGTAACGCATTTTTTTGCATGATTTCATGCCTAAGAACTGTCTCCTCCTCCTAGTAGCTAGTTTTCTATTTGCTATTACAGAAAAAGCTTAAGGGTTTTTTTGCATCGATCTACTGCTAGCAAGCAGTAGATATATGCAAACACTTACAAAAACAAAACGCTTTAAAAGGGGTTAAAACTTACCTGTGTCTTCGCCGTGCACTCCCCTCCAAAAATCTGAGAATTCTCGGGCGGCCGCAAAGGATTTTGAGGTGGGCGCATGCGCAGTTCACATTTTCAGGCCGGGAGACGAGGAGAGACACAAGGTAAGTCTATTGACAGCGTGCATGCAGACACCGTGGGACAGGAAGTGCCAGCAAGCACAAAGGAGTCAGCGCTGGACCGGAGGCCTGCAGCAGCGCTGGAGGGACAGCTGAAAACGACAGGAAAGAAGAAGATCGGATTAAGAGACATCATTTAAGGTAAGTGCTGACATTTACATTGGGGGAGGAAGAAAACGTATACTTTAATGTTACTTTAAGTCTGAAAACTTCTAAAAAACATGTAAATGAATGTGCAAAAAGGCTTCAAAATCATCTGAAATCTAACTTTTTTGTATATCTTTTTTTATTACTATGTGTGTCCTCATGTGGGAGTTTTCTCCTCACTTCCTGTCTATTTGCTTTTAGACAGAACAGGAAGTGAGGGGAAATCTCCTCAACAGGAACACAGCAATAAAAACATTTCAAGCAGAATGTGAAAGGTTTATACATGCTATCAGAATTGTATTGATGTCTTTGTCCCCAATTGGGAAGATTTCTCTTCCACTTCCTGTCCAAGTGATGGGTGTCAGATGGAACTGGAAGTGAAAGGAAGTCTCCATATTAGTGATGCAGATAGCGTTTCTTAATTCAAGTCGATTCACTTTGCCCAAAATGAAATTAAAGCTTTTTTGGCTGGATTGTTATAATGCATGTATTTATTTGTTGCAAAGGGAGTTGTATTTTTACAAAACAACCAGATCATAATTTTTTAAAATATTTCCTTCATACATTCTTGGATACGTTAAGATGCCTTTAGCACTATGAACTCAATAACTGAAATGTAATGTCATTTTATCTGTGACATTGTATAACATAAGAGGATTAACCAATATTAACCCATGAGTGGGTTGTTTATTTTCAATAGTTTAGGGAGCTAAGCACCACGACCCCTCTGAGATGTCCGCTGAAAGCGCACCAATGTTCTTCCAGCCATCCTGTCACTTTGACAGCCGTTGAAGGATTTAGCACCCAACAACTGATAGATAAGACTGTAAACACCTGCCCTTTGTCATGTGTCCTACAGGAAACATTAGAGGCCCCGCTCGGCCAAATATGACTCAGCTATTGAGCAGCCACTTGTACACAAACTCTGTCGCTTTGTTATGACTACAGAGTTCCTGGCTGCCATTGACATCAATTATGAAGTTTACAAACACACATTAAGAGCAGAACGCCTATACATTAAGGTAAAGTTCACACACTTGTTAAGTGCATATAGCATTGCAACATGTTTTTGGTGCATTTAGGAGACATTTGTAAAGCACATCTAAATTTGGGGGTTTTGGAAGGCAATTAATTAAAGCAAAAGCCTACCAAAGTCCTTACAAATGTTTGTGGCGTGCTGTCATTGACTTGAATTGGTGCATTTGCAAAGTTGCCAACATCTGCTGTACATTCAAAGCACACATACTAGGTGCTGCTCCAGGTTAGTCCACTTGGATCCGCTGACAGGGTGCAGACACCAGCTCACTACCAGCCACAATATACGCTGTAACTAGTTTCTTATATTTTTAGGGATTCCAGCAGTGAGATCCTCTTGATAAATTCTTAAATAAATGTGTTTCTAGGCCAAATTGTTATAGCATATTCTAAAATATTCAGCACTTTTCATAGTAGATATCATTCAGTGCCCTGAAGGCATACCTCCCAACTTTCTGAGATGAGAAAGAGGGACACCTTCTGGCACAATATATTCAGGTAATGGACACGGCCCTGCTAGAAACCCAGATATGCAATAATTTATATGCCAAAAATGACTGGTTAAACCCAACATTTTTTTTCACCATTACTTTTCCTTTATACTGGCTTTCAGAAATGGCAAACAAGATCAGTAAGCCATAAGATAAAGGTTTTAGTGCACAACAGCATTTTTGGTAGTTAAATATAACCTTTTCATCGGCATCTGTACATCAGACCAAAAAGAGGGGCGACAGAGGAGGAAAGAGGGACAGAGGGGTTTGGTTCCAAATGAGGGACTGTCCCTCCAAATCAGGGACAGTTGGGAGGTATGTCAAAGGAGCTTTGATGTCCCTACGGCTTTTATGCAAACACATTTTAGGGCCAAATGAGCACTACAAGGCAAGAATAATAATCCAGCACAAAGATGATATGGAAGCCAAGAAAAATGTCCCATTTGTCCTGCTGCATGTGTTTGATGAGTAAACCAGCATTTAAAACAATGGTATCAGGTGGACTAAGATGGGAATATAAGCACAAAGATCTCAGAAGCCATCAATCTAAATCAGGTTTGGGTGTCCTTGGAAGTGTAGAAGTGCACTGATAAGTTGTTGACTGCATCAATCAGTTTTCATCTGTGTCAGTTTTCTTGTATTTTTGGGAAATATATTGGCCATTAAAATAAACTTGTCAGACATTTAGAGCTTCGTTCTTGCAGACAGGTACCAAAAGTTGTCTTCCATGCATAAAAGGAGTGAAGATGGGATGCCAGAAATCATCTCACTACATGTTCTTCATAATTTATCGTGATATTTTTCAAATAAAGTGCACAAAGCAATAATGAAAATATTTTGAGGACATTTATGAAAAAAGTGTAAATTATTG